ATTCTATTTTTTTTTTTATTTTATTATTTCCATATAATATTAAGGTCCTAGCCATGATGCAATAATAAGGTGATGTATCAAAACAAAAACATTTGTTTTTGTCCCGATCATCTGTCAAATTTTCTCTAGTAATATTTCACATGATTGGCAACATTGCAAATCGAATTCAAGTAGAAATTACCCACTGTGACAGTTAATCAAAACATCAGCTGCGCTAAATGGACTACCTATTCATTGTGGCATAGCCCTAGCTATGCATACTTTGTCTATTTTAATTTTGTAAACAAACATCAGCTGACTGGTATTTATATAAAACACAATTTTTGTTAATAATTGGGGTTTATTTCTGAATTTATAAATTCCAATATGCCCATTTTAAATATTAACGATTGGTCAGGGATATTTAATTAATTTGTATTTAATATGCACACATCTTTATTATTTTTACCACAAGTTTCATGTTTTTGACAGACGCCTTTGTTTAAGTTTGCATCATAATGCAAGTGTTGCCAATTTCATATATATAAAGGCAGTTCATAACAAGGACTGTTCACATGACAATAATAATAAAGTCACCAGGCCACATATCAATTCGATAATGTCATTGTGGCTCACAATGAAAAATATTTAAGAATTTAAGACAATTTTAATAAAATATGGAATATTGAGAAATAAAATTAAATATTTGACCAATATTTTAGTGAGCTTGAGCATTAAAGGGGATTTTTTTCTTGATTATGTCTTTTTAAAATATAAATCGTTTTTAGTACAAGTTTTGTTAATTCATTTTTAATCCATTTGACAGTTGTTTTCTTCCTGAAATTGTTCACTGGCCTCCATCATTGTCATATGTCCTCCATTTGTAATAAAATTGTTTTGATATTGTCAATATTAATAACAACAAAAATATAACCACAAATAAAATATCAATAACAAAACAATTACTCTAGCAAAAAAACATCAACAACAATATTCAATTTATCACCTCATCACCTTAATTTTTTCGGGAAGACAACTTGTGACAATTTAAAAAAGGCGTCATTGTTTTGCGTTTTTCAACATTCATCTTGTCTTGCCATCAATTTACCCAACCATTTGATTTGTTTTTATGATTTCCAATCTAAAAAAATTGAAAAGTAACTAAAAACAAACCTCCCCATATGGAGGCATAACAAGAAATCAGCAATATTGACAATAGGAAATAAATTAATTGATATTTGAGGTTATTTTACAAAATTTCATAGCAGACAATAGTAGAAACAATTTAAATTAGAAGATGGGGGCACGTCGTCAACAACACATTTTCAATAACAACAAAAAACGAACGCCCAGGGCATGAGCGTTACGCGCTTAAAGTGCCTACGCTTAAAGCTTTGTCACTGACCGTTAGACCGCAACAACAATAGCTAGAAGTGTTAGACAAATAGTTGAAAAAAGGGGGTCAATACTACTGACACACTCATAGTCATACTCACAAATATATTGTACATATCATTTGTCTATCTATGGTTATATTGCGCGCTGAGTTGACGTAATGAAAGGCGCGTGACACTGCTTTAAATCGAGCGAAAAAAAGCGCAACATTACAATTGAAATGAACCGCAACAGCAGCTCAACCACAATTTGAAAGAGACGTTTACATTTTAGCGGTTTTGCACCCAGGCTTTTTTTATTTTCAAGACAATCATGAATATTTTGAATGTTTTTTTAGCTATTAGACACGAACATATTTTATTTTTTTATTATGATTTATTATTATGCAGTTGATTCGGTGTGGTATTGAGTTTGAAGGTATGGGAATATTTTTTGTGGGAAAAAATATTATTAATAATAATAATGAGTAATTTCATTGGAAAAATTATTTGAAAATTTATTTATATTTGATCTGTTCCAAAATTAAGCATATGAACCCTCTAAATCCGTACCTTTATCCCTAAAAATAAAGAAAAACCAATTTTATATACCAGTCAGCTGATATTTGTTTATATTGCAAACCAAAATATTGGTAACACTAATTGCAATCATAGTAGCAATGGCACAATAAATAGGTAGTCCATTTAGCACAGCTGATGTCTCGATTAATTGTCAAAGTGAGTAATTTCTACTTGAATTCGTTTGTAAGAGTTCAGAAACTCCAAAAAACTACGAATAGGACTCGAATTTATTTTGGATTTTTTTTCTCGTTAACATTTATCCTTAAAAAATAAACAATGACAGTCCTATATACCAGTCAGCTGATATTTGTTTATGGTGCAAAACAAAATATTGGCAACACTAATTTCAATCATATATGTAAAGGTGCGTTTATACTATAGATTTTATAGTGATAGTGTGCATTATCTCAATTTAATGGTTAAATCCAACAGAATTAAGATTGTTTTAACATGCAAAATTAATAAATTCTCGATTTCTAGGCGTGGATTTTAAAATTACTTAATTTCTCGATCCCTAGAACGCGTGGATTTTTTAAATATTTGTTTATGTTTAAAATCTCACAGCTGTATTGGGACAATATATTGGCGTCTCAAGATTGCTGTCAAAATGCATTATTGTGAATTGACTTCCAGTATGAAAACGTGGACAAAGTCCAAAAAGTTTTGACATTAGACTTGAGAAAAAACCGCTGAATTTCGCATAGTCTATAGGCAACATAAATCAGCTGATTTTGTTGTTTCAAATCACATCTGTTGAAGAACGTAGTATTTGCCAAAAAAAATCGAGTCATTGTAGAAGACATGTTCCTAAAGCTCTTTATGTCAGCTGATCGTTTTTTTTATTTATAAAAATAATACAGTTGTTAAAGTATATATTTTTCAACATATTTTTAATTCAATATAATTAATTCAATATATATTCAATATGAACTCTCATTAACCCCAATTAATAAATGGATAATGAGAACCAGACAGTTACAAAATAATTTTATTACAAAAAAAAAATATTTTTGCTCTGTTTCTAAATCAGACATTAAATTGCCGTATCAGTCATCCAGATAATCGTAATGTCACATTATTGCTATTATTGTTTTTCCCATACAATAATGTCCATTAATTTTCTTTTTTATTTGTTATTTTTGTTAATAATTCAATTAACAAGTTTTTTTTATTGTCATATGCCATAATGACAGTTAATTGGAAAATATTGTGATCCACAAAATCACACAAATTTATATACAAAAACTATTAAATTGAAATATAAATGCATGCGTGCTCATCAATCGTGTAATCACATGGAAACACGATAATATATCATGTTAAAAAAAAATGAAAAAAAAAGATACTGAATACTTAACCATTTTAAAACGTCATATGCATTTCCCCGTGATGCCATAATAAGGTGATGTATCAAAACAAAAACATTTGTTTTTGTCTCGATTATCTGTCAAATGTTTCCTTATAATATTTCACATGGTTGGCAACTTTGCACATCGAATTCAAGTGGAAATTATCCACTTTGACAGTTAATCAAGACATCAGCTGCGCTAAATCGTCTAACTATTTATTGTGCCATGCATTTCCCCTTGATGGAGAGCAATTCCTATTAGAATTATGAAAATAATGGCCAGCTACGTAAAAGTAGAAATGTGTATGTATACGTAAACAAATATCAGCTGATTGGCTTTAGATCATTTTAATAATAGTCTAAACGGCGTGGTTTAGTACCTCGATTTAGAAATCTAATCGATTTAAAATGCATAGTTTAAAGGCGTTTTTATCATTACTTTACTCGTTTATGTCATGTTTATATTAGCGTGATTTATTGCAATCTATTTAAATTGTGGCCCTTGAACCATGACAATGAATCATTTTATCGAATCTAAAATACAACCGGTTATAGCTTAATCTATTCCATAGATTAGGCATATTTATTGTATGTGACATGCTAAATCGAATTGACGTATTATAGACTTGCGTGTTTTGTCACAAAGTTAATGTTGCTTAAACATACAATTAAATTACAATTTCCGTTTCTCAAAATATCATCACAACAACAAAATATATGTACAACACTATTATTGGAATGCAGTTTAATAAAAATAAATAAAATTTTGGTATAGAATTACCGAATTCTTCTCATGCTGTCAATAATCTTAAAGTTTAATTCCAAGTCCTATTAGTCTGTCAAATTTTTCCATATAATATTTCAAATGGTTGGCAACACTGCATATCGAATTCAAGTAAAAATTACCCACTTTGACAGTTAATCAAGACATCAGCTGCGCTAAATGGACTACCTATTCATTGTGCCATGAGTTCATCCATTGAGACCAGCTACATATCAGCTGTTTCTCAAGTTTGCTCTTAAAATCCACTATTGTGAATTAACTTTCATTGCGAAAACTTTAACAAAGTCCAAATGTTTGAAATTAGACTTGAGCAAAAACATGTTACTTTTGCTAACTGAGTGACGTTATTAATAGATCTTGAAATGAATGATATTTACCAAGGCCTATTAATGCGGGCATCTAGAGACACCTGCTGGATATCAGCTGCTTCTAAAGTTTTCTGTCAAAATCCATTATAGTGAATTGACTTACATTATCGAAACGTAAACAAATTTAAAATTGTTTACATTAGACTGTATAAAAAACTGCTGACTTTCGCTAGGTGACATTATTAATTAATATTGATATTAAAGTTTTCGTAAAATGGAGTCAACTCACAATAATGGAGATTGACAGCAAAGTTGTGAAACAGCTGATCTTCCTGTGTGACATTAATAGGGTTTGATTAATTCAAAATAGAAAAATAGTTGACAGCATGAGGGAGTATCAGCTGGTCTTCATGTTCATATTGAAGAAATATTTTGAAGGTTTTAGATTTATTATATTATTGTTATTATTATTTACTCACCTCAAAAATAAGGCTATGTTTACACAGAATAGAAACCTGCAATATTTATTTCCTTATGTTAAATTATATGAAATTAATACTTATTAATTATTATTTTTCTTGTCTTTTCATTCTTTACAGAAAAGTTTATAAATAAAAACACACAAAATGGAAATGTAAGTACAAATATTTTTATTAAACAATTTTTATTATTTTATGTTAATAAATTTATATATTTTGAAAAATATATATATATATATATATATAAATTTATATTTTATTTATATATTTTATATTAATAAATACGTTTTTCCTCTTCTTCTTTTAGTGAGGTGGGCGAACGAGAACCCGCATCTGGCAGCGGGCGTTGCAAAAGTTTTATTGCCAATCATTGGAAGGGTTTGGTTGTATTCCTCATACCCTTGCTATGTTTACCTGTGATGTTATTGAATAATACTCCTGTAAGTAAATTATATACAAAAAATTACATACACAAAATGCAATGATATGTTAATAAACAAATTATTTGCAAAATAAAAAGATTTTTAAAAACTTAGTGGCATCGTGTCAAAATTTTTGAAGTTATTTACGTTTTCATATGTGAAGTCAATTCGTAATAATTTGACGGAAAACTTGAGAACAGCTGATCTTTCTGGGTGACCTTATTTCAACAGAAAGATCAGCTGTTTCTCAAGTTTGCTTTGAAGACCAGATGCTTATCAGCTGATTTTCAAGACAAGCTGCTTATCAGCTGATTTTCAAGTTTGCTCTCAAAATCCATTATTAGGAATTGGCTTCCATTATGAAAACGTAAACAAACTCAAAATTTTTGACATTAGACTTGAGAAACAACAGCTGACTTTCGCTTGCTGATTGACCATATTAATCAGAGATGGCCTGTCAGCAACAGTGACGTTAATGACATACATTTCCGACGTATAATGCATACGTCAGAAACGTCGGAAACCTACCCAAATCCATTAGGTTTTTGACAAAATAGCTATTTCCATTAATCAATTTGGAAATTACGCACGCTTTACTCAAATCAAAAAAAAAAAAAATTCAAAATATTCTTCTCAAAAAAATTTAGAAATTTTTATCAGTTCTAGTAAGGAATTGTCAGATACATGTAAAAATAATATATATTCTTGAAAATAACTGTATATGCTGATAATGTTGATATAAATGACGTTTACTACATTTATTACATTTTATACAGGTATATGACGTTTTCGACGTTTACACCTTTTTGGACAGTCGAAAACCTAAAAATTCGTCACACGGGCCATCCCTGATATTAATAGACCTTGGAAGTTTTTAACATTTTTATTATAATGTAAAGTCAATTCACAAATATTTGACAGCAAACTTGCTAAACAGCTGATCTTTATGGATGACCTTATTTTCACAGAAAGATCAGCTGTTTCTCAAGTTTGTTGTCGAACAAGGCCTATTAATATGGTCATCCCGGGAGACCAGCTGGATATCAACTGCTTCTCAAGTTTAATGTCAAAATTCCAAAATTTTAACATTAATGTCTGTTTATGAAGTTCGCTATGAAATGTTGTCACGATCAATGCTTATTAAAAAGTTCGTTCAGGGAGACCAGCTGAATATCAGCGGTTTCTCAAGTTTGCTTTCAAAATCCATTATTGTGAATTGACTACCATTATGAAAACGTAAACAAAGTCAAAATTTTTGACATTAGGCTTGAGAAACAACAGCTGACTTTCGCTTTCTGGTTGGCATTATTAATAGATCTTGGAAGCTATTTACGTGTTTATAATGTAAATTCAATTCACGATAAATTGACAGCAAACTTGCTGAACAGCTGATCTTCCTGGGTGATGTTATTACAACAGAAACAAGGCCTATTAATAAGGTCATCCAGTGAGACCAGCTGACCAATATCAGCTCTTTCTCAAATTTAATGTTAAAATCCATTATTGTAAATTGACATCCACTTTGAAAAAGTAAAAAAAGAAAAATTTTTGACATTATACTTAAGGAAAAACTACTGACTTTCGCTAGCTGGTTGACCATATTAAAGCTCTTGATCAGAAAGATCAGCTGTTTATCAGGTTTGCTGTGAAATATTGGTCATCCAGGGATAGCAGTTGTATATCAGCTGTTTCCCATTATTGTGAATTGAATTTCATTATGGAGACGTAAACAAAGGCCAATTTTTTGACATTAGACTTGACAAACAACAGCTGACTTTTGCCTGTATATTGCCCTTTTTAGAAGATCCTGCATGTTATTTACCTTTTTTTAATGTAAAGATTATTCACAATAATTTGACAGCTCACTTAAAAACAGCTGACCTTTCTGGGTCATATTAATTCAAAAGAAACAAAGCCTATTAATAAGGACATCCAGGGACACCAGTTGGACATTAGTTGTTTCCCAAGTTTGATGTCAAAATTCATTATTATGAATAGACTTTCATGATGATAACGTAAACAGACCATTTGACATTAGACTTGGGAGAAAAAACTTCTGACTTTCTCTTGCTGGGTGACCTTTTTAAAAGATCTTAAACAGAAAGATCAGCTGCTTTTCAAGTTTGCTGTGAAATATTGTCATTTTTACAATGTAAAATCAATTCACAATAATTTGACAGCGCACTTGAGAACAGCTGATCTTGCTGGATGATTTTACTTTTACAGAAATAACAGCTGTTTCTCAAGTTTGCTGTGATATATTGTCGGCATATTTAGAATATATTTTATCTCAAATAATTAATTTTATTATACGTTTTCATTTATGAAATATTGATTTATTTAATTTACATTTGTTTTGTTTTTATTTATTTCAGCCCTACCGTTGCATGTACCTTTTAATTGTTATGGCCATCTTTTGGGTCACAGAAGCTTTACCCCTGTATGTTACATCAATGTTGCCTATTATTGCATTCCCGATTATGGGTATTATGGTAAGTGGTATTATTCATAAATTATCCGAAAATTTTTTGAAAACAAAGTATACAGAAATGTAAACAAAAATAATTAAAAGATAAATTGAGTTGTATTGTTTAATGTAAACGTAGGGTTATTCATTCACTTTATTTTCCCTTGGGATTTTAATTTAAAGAATATTATTTTGAATAGAATTTTTTGTCTTTGAAAAAATTCAAAACTTTAAACGGCATATACATTAGAACTTTTTACCGGGTTAACCTACTTTGTGAGGATTTATTTGACATATATACAAAGGAAATGACGATTGAAACCCGCTGGGTTAATGAAATCCGTTTAAATGTAAACGTACTATTAAAGAAAACATTAAAACCTGTTCACAATACAGCTGTTTTCAAATCAGCTGATTCAAATTGTACACAAGGCCTATAAATAAGGTCATCTAGGGAGATCAGCTGATTATCAAGTTTGCTGTCAAAAATCCATTATTGTGAATTGACTTTCATTATGAAAACAAAAGCCAAATTTTTGACATTAGACTTGAGCAAAAACAGCTGACTTTCGCTAGCTGGGTGACTTTATTAATATATCTTGTCATATTTCAAACAACTAGACCCACAGTAAATTGTCAAATAAATGTAATTTTTAAACATTTGAATTTAATATTTTTCAAACTTCCATTTATAAAAAATGTTTCCTCCCTTTGTCGTTTACAAATTGAACACGTGACTAATTTAAATATCAATTTAAAATAACGTACATTGTTTACATCTCATAATACTTGTTTTATTAATCATTCTCATATATTTAAATGTCAATTAAAATTAATTTACAAATATTCTCTCTTAATTACAGAGCTCCGATGAGACGTGTAAATTATATTTCAAAGATACGCTGGTCATGTTTATGGGCGGTATTATGGTCGCCTTGGTCATTGAATATTGTAATTTACACAAACGTTTAGCGCTGCGCGTAATCCAAATTGTGGGCTGCAGTCCCCGAAGGTATGTATACAGACAGAAATAGATTACGACGAAATGGAAATACAATTTAACCTCCGATGTACAGAGAGTAACCCTAACACGTTGTGAATTAATAAATTTTAGTTGTTGTTCTTGTGGTTGGCTATAGTGTGTGACATTAATTAAAAAAATGTTGCATATTCAATGAAGGCTAGTTGTTCGATACCTAGTGGCTGGCTGGACGTCGACGTACTCTGGACATTAAATATGTAATAAATATGTATGGCAAAATAATTAATGTATATGGGGTTTAAGAAAAAATCCATGTAAATAGGGTTGGGAGTAATATAATAGGTATGTTCGTTATTATCCTGATGGAGTCTCAAGATTAAAATTTAAAAAAATAGAGCCAACAGCTGATTTAGATGCATGAAGTGAGATCAGCTGTTTCCAATGTTCGCTGTCAAAATACATTATTGTGAATTGACTTACATTATGAAAACGTAAACAACGTTCAAATTTTTGACATTAGACTTGAGAAAAAAACCGAGGATTTTCGCTAGCTGGGTGAACTTATTAATAAATCTTGAGTAAGATTAAGTAAAACACCGTGTTGTCCCTGTGCCAACAAGATCAGCTGATCATCCAGGTCATGTAGGAAGATAAGCTGCATATCAGCTGTTTCTCAAATGTAATCCCAAAATCTATTATTATGAATTGAAAACAGCTGTTTTTCCGCTCTCTTGTTTAACTTCAAGGCCTACAAATAACTTCATCCAGGGAGGTCACCTAGATATCAGCTGATTCTTAAGTTTGCTGTCATAATCCATTATTGTGAATTGACTTCCATTATTCGCTAGCTTAAGGACAAAGGGCTATAAATAAAGTCATCCAGGGAGACCATGGCCTATAAATAAGGTCACCAAGGGAGACCAGCTGATTATCGATACCTCTCAAGTTTGCTGTCAAAATGCATTATTGTGAATTGACTTCCATTATGAAAACGTAAACAAAGTCGAAATTTTTGACATTAGACTTGAGAAAAAACAGCTGTTTTCCGATTTCGATTGCTATCTTGGTGACCTTATTTATAGGCCATGAGGGAGACCATATGGATATCAGCTGCCTCTCAAGATTGCTGTCAAAATCCATTATTGTGAATAGTCTTTCATTATAAAAACGTAACAAAGTCCAATTTTTTGACATTAGACTGTTTTCAGATTTCGCCTGGGAATAAAAAAAATGGACTTATATAGGCTATTATACGTAATATCGTTTTATATTCTCTGAAAACGCGATACAATTTATAGCCACATTGGTTGAAAAAGAGCTACTAAGAGCTTCAAAATATGGAAAATTAAGCTGGGCTTTTCCAGATGAACTATATCAAAAGATAGACCTATGTATATTGGAGATGTTCTGCCAATATGTTTTCAAGCTCCCGGAATGCCACTTCGGTTGAAAAAATGCGGCTAAGAGCTTTAAAATATGGAAAATTCTTCGGGACCTTTCTATATGAAATATGTCAAAATCTGGACCTATATTAAAAAAAAAATTCAGCCTCCACCCGGAACCCAAAAATATGTTTGAAAAATGCAATTTGGAACTTCGGAATATGGAAAATGTGGCGGGACCTTTCTATATGAAATACGTCAAAACCTGGACCTTTTTTAAAAAAATTTAATTGGAGTATTTTTGAACTCCTTAGAACGCCAAATTACAGCCACATCGGTGTTGAAATGCGGCGAAAACCTTAAATATGCCGAAAATATGGTGGGACCTTTATATGGAGGTTATGTCCAACAATGAACCTGTATTGAAAATTGTCTGCAAAGATACGTTTCACAGCTTCAAGAACCCGGAATGCCCAATTACAGCCACTTCGGTTGAAAAAAACGCGGCTAAGAACTTCAAAATATCGAAAATTTGGCAGGACCTCACTGCGGGGCGGGGCCCATCTCAAAAGATGGATCTATATTTAAAATTGTCTGCAAAGAAGTTTTTCACCATCCGAGAACCTGGAATATCAAATTACAGCCTCTTCGGTTTAAAAAAAGCGGCTGAGAACTTCAAACTATCGAAAACATTTGCGGGACCTTTATATGGAGGCTATGTCCAACGATGAACCTGACTTGAACAGTTTTTACAAAGCTGCTTTTTTACATCTCCGGGAACCCAAAATACCAAATTACACCCACATCGGTGGAGAAATGCGGCTAATAACTTCAAAATATCGAAAATATAAGGCGAACCTCACTATGGGACCTATGCCAAAATATGGATTTATATTTAACATTTTCTACAAAGATTTTTCTATCCTACAAGAACCTGGAATGCCAAATTACAACCACTTCGGTGGAGAAATGCGGCTAATAAGTAAAAAAAAATATCGAAAATTTAGCGGAACCTCACTATGGGACCTATGTCCAAATATGTATTTATATTTAAAATTTTTTGCAAAGATGTTCTTTACCTTACGAGAACCCGGAATACCAAATTACAGCCACTTCGGTGGAGATATGCGGCTAATAAGTAAGAAAATATCGAAAATTTAGCGGAACCTCACTATGGGACCTATGTCCAAATATGTATTTATATTTAAAATTTCCTGCAAAGATGTTCTTCACCTTACGAGAATCCGAAATCCCAAATTACAGCGGTGGTGAAATTCGGCATTTAACTTAAAAATATCTAAAATTTAGCGGAACCTCACTATGGGACCCATGCCAAAAGATGGGTTTATATTTAAAATTTTTTGCAAAGATGTTTTTCACCTTATGAGAACCTAGAATACCAGATTACAGCCACTTCGGTGGAGAAATGCGACAATTAACTTCAAAATCCGAAAATCGGGCAGAACTTTTACAAGGAGGATTCGTAAAAACAAGGGACCAATATTGAAAATGTTATGCGTGGATGTCTCCGGGAACTTCAAGGAAGACATTTCATTCACTTCTGTTTGAAAATGAGATGCCGATCTTGAAAATATTTATAAATCGGATCGGAACCCGTATATGGGGCGATGTACGGAATTGGACCTACCTTAGCAAATATCCTTCAGAAAATATTTTATTATCTGAGACCCGAAATGCCAAAATAGCCACTTTGGTTGATGAAATCCATACGGGAGCGTATAATGAAAATTTTCTGCCAGGGAGTATTCTGGCCCCCATGAATCCGAAATATAAATTGGAACAATCTACATAGGTTAAAAATTCAGACAACAACTTTAAAAATGTCTAAAATCTACCGGGGACTATTCCACAAGATAGACCTGCAACCTTGAGACACTGTTGAGCTTCTTAGGTTGAGTTCTTATCAATTAACCTAGGTCCTTGGGAGGATATGTGTATTTCAAATCCCTATTTTTTTCTATTTCATTTTTTATTAACCTCCATTTTCTCTCGATTTTATTTCAGATTACATTTCGGTTTGATTTTCGTCACCATGTTCTTGTCCATGTGGATTTCGAATGCCGCCTGTACAGCTATGATGTGTCCGATTATTCAGGCCGTATTGGAGGAATTGCAGGCACAAGGCTTGTGCAAAATGACCACCGAACCGGAATACAAGATTGTTGGTGCCAACAACAAGAAGGCCAATGAAGAAGAGTAGGTCCACACACAAATCTCAATGGAAATGTCATTAATCCAACTTTTCTCTTTTACAGACCCCCCTATCCCTCCAAGGTCACCTTGTGCTACTATTTGGGTATTGCCTATGCCTCATCCATGGGCGGTTGCGGCACTGTCATTGGTACTGCCACCAATTTGACATTTAAGGGCCTGTACGAAACTCGTTTCCCCAATTCCGCCGAAACTCTCGATTTCCCCACCTTTATGTTCTACTCGGTGCCCTCTATGTTGGTCTATACCGGTTTGATGTTTGTTTGGTTGCAATATCATTTCATGGGCTTGTTCCGTCCCAAGAGTAAAGAAGCCGAGGAGGTTAAGCTGGGTCAACAGGGTGCCGGTGTTGCCAAGAAAATTATCGATCAACGTTACAAGGAATTGGGACCCATGTCCATTCATGAAATTCAAGTTATGGTCCTGTTCATTATTATGGTCGTCATGTATTTCACCCGTAAACCTGGTATTTTCCCCGGCTGGGCTGATTGGTTGGACACGGTGCCCATTAAGAATTCTATGCCCACCATTTTCGTTGTTGTAATGTGTTTCATCCTGCCCGCCAATTATGCTTTCTTGCGCTACTGCTGCAATCGCAGCAAACAACCCTTGCCCACGGCGACCACCCCTTCATTGATCACCTGGAAATTTATTCAATCGCGCGTTCCATGGGGTTTGATTTTCTTGTTGGGTGGGGGTTTCGCCTTGGCTGAGGGTAGCAAACGTTCCGATATGGCTAAGTTGATTGGTCAAGCTCTAGTTGGTTTGAAATCATTGCCACATGCTGTCCTGTTGTTGGTCATAATTTTGGTGGCGGTCTTCTTGACGGCATTCAGTTCGAATGTGGCTATTGCCAATATTATGGTACCTGTTTTGGCGGAGATGGTAAGTGGGAGAACCTGACAACTGATAATGAATAATAATATTGAAATTTATTTTTTTTCTAGGCCCTTGCCATTGAAATCCATCCTCTGTACTTAATCTTGCCCGCTGGCTTGGCCTGCAGTATGGCCTTCCATTTACCTGTTAGTACGCCGCCGAATGCTCTGGTGGCGGGTTATGCAAATATTCGCACAAAGGATATGGTAAGTTGAATTTTTAGAGAAGAAGTTTTTTTAACTCACCTAGAACCCAAAATATGGAATTACAATAACTTCGGTTGGAGAATGCGTCTAACACCTTCAAAACACCGAAAATAGGTCGGGATCATTATATCGTACTATATCATAACATTGAACTTAATTGAAAATATTCTTTTCAAACCTCCGAGAAACCGAAATATCAAATTTCAGGCACTTCGGTTGAAAAATTGAGGTTATTCAATTTCAAAATATCGAAATCCTGGCGAACCTATATTTAAACATAGTCTTCTATTGAAAATCTTCCGCAGAAATATTATTCACCCTCCAAGAATCTGGAATACCACATTGCAGCCACTTCGGCTGAAAAATGCGAGTAAGAATTTCTAAACATCGAAAATTTTGCGGGACCATTATATGGAGGCCATTTCAAATAGTGGATCTACTTTAAAATTGTTTTGCAAATAAACTGTTTACCCTCCAAGAACCCGTAATGCAGAATTACAGCCACTTCGGTTGAAAAAAATAGCTTTGCAACCTTCAAAATATCGAAAAATTGGCGGAACCATTATATGGAGACCATTTCAAAAGGTGGACCTACATTAAAATTATTCTGCAAGTATATTTTCAAGCTCCCAGCACCTGGAATGCCAAATTACCGCCACTTCGCTTGAAAAAATGAGCTTCAAACCTTGCAAAATGTCGAAAATTCGGCAGAACCTTTATATGAGAGCTATATTAAAACATGGACCTCTATTGAAAAATTGTCTTCAAACATATTTCTCATTCACCAAGAATTTGAAATACCAAATTTCAAACACTTCGGTTGAAAAATGCGGTTAAGAACCTGAAAATATCGAAATTTTAGCGGGACAATTTCAAAAAGTGTCCCTATTTTGCTCTGCATGTATACTTTTTAACCTCCAAGAACCTGGAATACAAAATTTCAGCCACTTCGGTTGAAAAAAATGAGGTTAAAAGTTTGAAAATATCGAAAATTCGTCGGAACCTTTATATAGGGGCTATGTCTAGACATGGACATCTTTAGAAAATTTTCTTCAAATATACTTCTCACCCTCCAAGACTTTTGGAATACCAAATTTCAGACACTTCAGTTGAAAAATGTGCCTATGAACCTGAAAATACCGAAATTAGGGCGGGACCTTCATATGGGAGCTATGCCAAAGCATGGACTTATATATAAAAAAATGTCTGCAAATATGTTTTGAACGCCCCAAGAACCCTCAATGCCAAATTACAGCCACTTCGTTTGACAAAAATCGATTAAAATCTTTAAAATATCGAAATTTTGGCGGAACTAATTCAAAACAAGGACCTTTATAGGATTTTTTGCAAACACGTTTTTAGGTCCCCGTGAGCCCGGAATGTCAAATTGCAGTTGACAAAATTTGGTTAAAATCTTCAAAATATCGAAATTTTGGCGGGACCGTTATATGAGAACTATATTAAAACATGGACCTATATAGAAAAATGTCTGCAAATATCTATTTTAAGGCCACAAGAACCCAGAATGCCAAATTACAGCCATTTCGGTTGAAGGAATTCGGTTAAAATCTTTAACCAAATTTCAAACAATTCGGTCGAAAAATGAGACTATGAACATTAACAATTTCGAAAATTTGCCGAATCTTTGTGGGGAGGCTCTACTAAATCATGGACCTATATAAAAAATGTCTGCAAATATATTTTTAAGGCCCCGAGAACCCCGAACGCAAAATCAAAGCCACTTCGGTTGACAAAATTCTGCTAAAATCTTTAAAATATCGAAATTTTGGCGGAATCTTTATATGGAAGCTATGCCAAAGTATAACCCTATATAAACAAATGTCTGCAAATATGTTTTTTAAGGCCCCAAGAACTCGAAATGTCAAATTACAGCCACTTTGGTTGACAAAATTCGAATCTCTATAAGGGAGCTATACCAAAACATGGACCTATACAGACAATTTTCTGCAAATCTCTTTTTTCAGCCTCCCCCACAACCTAGAAGACCAAATTACAGTCACTTCGATTGAAAAATGTAGCCAAGAACTTCAAATTACCGAAAAAAGGTTCGGCACTTCTCTATGGGAACTATTCCAAAGCATGGAAATAATTTAAATTTTAATTTTAATGGCAAATTATGATTAAAATATTGGGGTTAAAACCTGCAAAAGTTCGAAAATTTGGCCGAACCTTTCAATGAAAATGTTCTGCAAGTAAAATTTTCACTCTCCGATAACCTGGAATATTTTATTACAGCCACCTCGGTTGAAAAAAATGCTTCAAAGAACTTCAAAATATCGAAAATTGGTTTTTTTACCTTCCAGAACCTGGAAAGTCAAATTACAGCCACTTCGATAAAAAAGATTGCGATTAAAATCTGCAAAAGTTCGAAAATTTGGCCGAACCTTTTAATGAAAATGTTCCACAAGCATGTTACAGGCACTTCGCTTGAAATAATACGGCAAAGAACTTTAAAATATCGAATATTAGGCGGGACCGTTATATCGGAACTATGTCAAAACATGAACCTACTTCAAAAATTGTCTGCGAATATGTTTTTTTTATCCTCCCAGAACCTGGAATACCAAATTACAGTCACTTCGGTTGCAAAAAATCGCTTAAAATCTTCAAAATATCGAGAATTTGACGGGATCGTTAAATTTAAACCATGGACTTACTTTAAACTGTTATTGCAAATATGTTTTTTAACCTCTCAGAACCACTTCGATTCAAAAAAAAAATCAGTTAAAATCTTCAAAATATACAAAATCGGTCACTTTTTGCGGTTCGATTCTAACCCAATTATTTGGGATCTGAGTGTAATTCAACTTTTAGGATCTCCGACGAATATTTCATGGGATTTCAAACGAACTGATAAGTTTATCATACACTCCGTCTCAGGGTATACAAATATTTTTCAGCATAACCTCACATTTTTGTTTGAACCTAACCCAACTTTTGGGTTTCGAGTTCTACTTAACTTTTGAGGACTCTGTGAAGTGAACATTATGACAATTTTTAAAACACTCTCCAACTCATTAGTATGAATTATTTTTCATTATTAAGAAATCTTTTTCAACCTAACCTCAATTTTTTATTTCAACCTAACCTCACACTTTTTCTTTATTTTCTTTTTCTTACAGGCCATTGCTGGTATTGGACCCACCATCATTAGTATTGTTGTCTTGTTCGTATTCTGTCAGACATGGGGCGCCGTTGTCTATCCCTCGTTGACTACCTTCCCCGATTGGGCACGTGAAATTGCGGTCAATGCCACATCTTAGATTTAGGAAAAAAACAACAACAAAACAAAATTATTTAAGAAGACTTTTGTAGCTTGCAACAAAAACAACAACAACAAAGCGTAATTGTAATAGTAGTAGTAGTAAATCTGTGAACACTTCCCCTCTCCCCTCCCCCTTTAACCTTTAAATTCTCAAAAAAAAAAACACTTACGAAGCCTTTTCAACTACAACATTATTCTAATTCAAAAAATCAGGACAACAACAAAAAATCATTGACATGTCAACTCACATTTTATGTTTCATTTTCATAGATTTTAAGTGAAAATAATGTAACGAGTTTTGTATTTTAATTGTATGTACGTACATGTGTGAGTCTAAATGTATGTATGTATTGTTAAGATCTATTTTTTGGCCATGATTTTTTTTTTAATTTTTAAAAGAATTTTTTTTTCAAAAAAATTTTTGAAATGTTTTAATGAAATTTTGACGCCCTTTTTGAGTTTTTTTAATAAGAATTTTGTTCATGATCCCTAACTAGTTGAAAAAATTGTCCCCCTTCATGATGATCCCCTTTTCTAAAATTTTTCTAATTCATAACCCCGAAAGCCATGATTTTTTTTAATTTTTAAAGAATTTTTTTTTAAACATTTTTTGAAATGTTTTAATGAAATGTCGATGTCCTTTTTATTTTTTTTAAATATGAATTTTGTTTTTCATAATTATCCCCCTTCCTTAAATTTTGAAACCCCAAATTAATTACCCCAAAAGCATGTATGTATCGACCCAACACTCAATATTAAAAAAAAAAATATTTAAAATAAATTATGTATCATATACATATATGTACATACTTGCCCCGAGCATTAACCAGATCAATTACATTTGTGTGTATAACTAAAAAAATAATATTAATAAAAAATTTTTATGAGAAAAAATTATAAAAAAATTATAACAAAAAAATTTATGACAGAAATTAATAAAAAAATTTATAAAAACTGTTAACAAAAATTTATAAAAAATTTATAAAAATCTGTTAAAAAAAACAACAACAAAATGTGAAACTCTATGCATTTCTGTTAAACATTTGTTTATGTTTATTATTTTTTTTTTTCTTAATTTTTTTTTTAAATATACAACAATAATTTTTTATATATATAAAAAAACGTAGCTAAAAACTTAAGAAGGTGGACATTTATATACAAACACAACACAACAACAATAACTAATTAATAATAATTACAACAAAATAGAGAGAAGTACACAAAGAAATACACATTATTAAACAATAATTACAGAATAGAAAGCAAACAGCAACAACAACAATGAGATATAGAATTTAAATATCAATTTTAAGCTAAATAATAATAATTAAAATATTAAATAAAACAAAAATATATTTTAGATATTTTTACAAAATGATAAAAATAAAAATATGAAATTTATGTACTTTAAATGTATACAAAAAATAAAAGTAAATAGGAAATAAAAAACAATAAAAAAATAAATTAAAAACAACTTTTTTTTAATTTTAAATGGAAAAAAACAAGCAATCCTTTTTCCACTTTGCACAATGCCAAAAGCCAACGATTTTATGATGGTTTTAACAGCCTGTCAAAGGTTGTTGGTAACCCTATCTTGCCTTACTTCAAATCACTTGTTAATTCAATTAAGAACATTTGACAAACCTTATATCTATTTAAAATTTGTTGTTAATGGTGTTTCATGTTCATTTTGTCGCCCTGTAACGTTAAACGGCCAACAATAACAAAATTCTATTTACTGAGTTACCCTGTAACGTTAAACGACAAACAATAACACATTTGCTATACTGAGTTACCCTGTAACGTTAAACAACAAACAGTAACACATTTGCTATACTGAGTCGTCCTGTAACGTTAAACAACAGACCGCATCAAAAAAATTATTTGACAAGACACCCTGTAATGTTGAATAACAGACTGTCACAAAAATCGGTTTATTTCATTTGTTTTCTCTTTGAGCGCCTAAAAATATGCTATAGTTTTTGTTTAAAAACAAACCAGCAGCCATTATGAACGAAAAATGGCCATTCGTGTTTGTGTGATTTTTCATTGTCAGGTAATAGGCGAACAGCACCGAACAGTAGGGCCATTTTGGAACATGATTAACTTCAAATGCAAATAACTCAGCAACGGCTTAACGGATTTTCATAAATTTTGGAGCAATGGTTAGAGGAAATTCTAAAGATTTATTACATATTGCCTAGAAATATAAAATAGGATATTACATAAGTGGAAATTCACATTATGTGGTGCGAACCATAAGTTTGGAAGGGAGCAAGCGTTTTCAGCCAAACTTTGCACATCGTCATATTTCTGCCAAAAATTAAATCTAGTTCGGAAATGGGGCGCAGAGGTCCACTCCTTAGGGTACCCCGCCCACAAAATGCTCAAATTTTTGCTGAAAATTAATTTTAGAATATTTTGTGAATGGATTATCCGATTGAATCCAAACTTTGCACATCGTAATGTTTTAAGCATACCTGTCTAATATTGTATGATGGGACCCATCGGTGCACTCTTTCGGGTACCTCCCACACAAAATTAAAATTCGGCTGAAAATTAATTTTAGAATAGAATATGAGAACGGGCTATCCGATTGGAACCAAACTTTGCACATCGTAATTTTGTAACCATACCTGCATATTGTTGGAAGTTGGGACCCATCGGTGCACTCCTTCGGGTACCTCCCACACAAAATTGAAATTTAGCTGAAAATAAATTTTAGAATATTATGCAAACGGTCTATCCAATTGAAACCAAACTTTGCACATCGTAATATTTTATGTATAACTGTCTAATATTTTAAGATGGGACCCATCGGCGCACTCCTACGGGTACCTCCCACACAAAATTAAAATTTTGCTGAAAATGAATTTTTAGAATATTATGAGAATGAAATATCCGATTGGAACCAAACTTTGCACATCGTAATATTTGAACCATGTCTCTATAATTTTGGAAGTTGAGACCCATCGGCGCACTTCCTTGGGTACCTCCCACACAAAATTAAAATTTTGCTAAAAATTAATTTTAAATTATTATGCAAACGGACTAAACCGATTGGAACCAAACTTTGCACATCGTAATTTTACAATATCTACACAATGTTGGAAAATGGGATCCATCGGCACACTACTTCGGGTACCTTTCACACAAAGAGGCAAAATTTCCAATTCTTTATTAATTCAATATTAAGCGAATGGAATACCTAATTGGACTCAAACTTTACACATCATCGAATTTTTATCCACTCTAAATCATGTTCGAAAATGGGACACATCGATTTACTCCTATGGATACCTCTAACACAAAGCTTCAAAATTCTCAATTTTTTATAAATCCAATATTAAGCGAATGAAATGACCGATTTGACCCAAACCCGGCACATAGTAATATTTTAACCATGTCTGTATATTGGGGGATGATGGGACTTATAGGTCCACTCCTTCTAGTACCTGCCGCACAAAGGGTCAAAAATTCTAATTTTTTCATAAATTCAATATTAAGCGAATGGAATGTTCGAATTGGACCCAAACTCGGCATATCGTCGTATTTTTATTAAATCTTAATCATGTTCGAAGATCGGACCGATCGGCGCACTCCTTCGGGTACCTGCCTCACAAAGTGACTTAATTTTAAAATTTTTATAGATCCAATATTAAGCGAATGGAATGGCCGAATTGGACCCAAACTCGGCACATGTTAATATATTAACCAATCCTAGATCAAGTTCGAAAATGGGACTTATCGGACCACTCCTTGGGGTACCTCCCCCACAAAGTGTCATAATTTTCAATATTTTTAAAAATTCAATATTAAGCGAACGGGCTATCCGATTGGACCCAAACTTTACACATCGTAATATTTTTACCAATCCTAGATCAAGTCCGAAAATGAGACCCACCGGCCCACTCCTTCGGGTACCTCCCCCAAAATGTGTCAAAAATTTCAATTTTTCTTAAATCCAATATTAGGCGATTGGAATGTCCGAATTGACCCAAACTCGGCACGTCGTCGTATTTTCAACAACTCTAAATCATGTTCAAAAATGGAACTTATCGGCCTACTCCTTCGAGTACCTCCCACACAATGTCACATTCCATAATTTATAAACCTAATCTTAAAACTCCAATTTCATGTTAATATTCAATTAATTTTGAAATTCTATTTATTTTGCAAGAAAGTATACGAAAATACCTTTCATGTGACACCACTTTCATTTGAATACCAGCAATATGGAAAAAGTTATAGCAAAATAGAAATGAGGTATGCAAAACCGTCGTCAGCGCCATCTATTGAGGGCTTAGCTTACAAAGCGTATAACTTTTGAACGGATTATCGCATTTCAACGAATCGGGTGTCATATGAAAGGAAAAATCGTCTACTTTACTATGACTAGTAATTTCCTTTTAAAACATTTTTTGAACAATTCCACGCCTCTCTTAACTAATGAAAAAATTATTTTGTTAAACAAATTTATAGATTTTTTTACAAATGATTTTTTTTATTTATTTATATTTTTTGTAAATATATAAAAATATTGCATACAAATTGATTATATAAATGGAAATGTGCGTACTAAAGCTAGACACAAAAAAGGAAATTTTTATAAAAAAATTGGAATATAAAAAAGGCATTTTTTATTAATCTCTAATAATAAAATACGACATTTAAAAAGCCAATGACCGAAGGTTAATTTTTTACAAAATTCTTTGTTTTACAACAAAATTACAAAATAAAACACAGAATAGAAGTCAAAGCGGTTAGATGATAAAAAAAGATTCCGCAACCATGATTTTTTTGTATAAAAAAATCCTTTCCAAAACTCCTTTTTACATCTTAGCCGATTTAACCAATTTCAATTGCTCCGTCAACATACGACCAAAATCGGGATGGACATTGGTAAAGTTCTTGACAGCACGTTCCTGAATAAATTGACTGGCATTGGCCAAGTGGCCGGCAATGTTGTTGACCAACCGCTTGCGTGCAGCATCATCCAAAACACGTACCCAGAAATCGGTGACCTGGCTGAAGTTATCCTCAGTATCACCACTGCTGTAACGATAAACATCACCCGAAACGGGACATTTCGATTCCAAGCTACGGGCACGTGGGCATGTCTCGGGGCCAGAGAACGAGTTGGGATAGTAGTTGGGAGCACCACCTTGATTATCGGTAACGGTCATAGGGCCATCACGTTGATAGTTCTTAACGGCCACACGGTAGGGGCAGTTGACAGGGATTTGCAAGTAATTGGGACCCAAACGATGACGATGGGTATCGGAGTAAGAGAAGAGACGACCCTGCAACATCTTGTCGGGGGAGGGTTCAATGCCGGGCACCAAATGAGCCGGGCTGAAGGCGATCTGCTCGACTTCGGCAAAGTAGTTGGTGGGGTTGCGATCCAAGGTCATGCGTCCCACATCGATGAGGGGGAATTCACTGTGTGGCCAAACCTTGGTCACATCGAATGGATTGTATTTGAAGGTTTTGGCCTGTTCGAAGGTCATAACCTGGATCTTCAACGACCAGCTGGGGAAGTTGCCCTCCTTGATGGCATTGTACAAATCACGAATGGAGTAATCGGGATCGGAGCCAGCCAATTCATCGGCCTTCTTGGCATCCAAATTCTTAATGCCCTGATCCGAACGGAAGTGGAATTTACAGTAGATGGGTTCGCCCTTGGCATTGATCATCTTGAAGGTGTGCGAGCCATAGCCGTGCATGTAACGATAGCCATCGGGGGTGCCACGGTCACTGAACAAGAAGCTGACTTGGTGAGTGGTTTCGGGACGCAACGAGATGAAATCCCAGAACATATCGGGATCCTTCAAGTGGGTCTGGGGATTGCGTTTTTGGGTGTGAATGAAGCTGGGGAATAGGATGGGATCGCGGATGAAGAAAATGGGGGTGTTGTTGCCAACCAAATCCCAGACACCATCATCGGTGTAGAATTTTACAGCAAAGCCACGGGGATCACGGGCGGTATCGGCAGAGCCGCTTTCACCACCGACGGTGGAGAAACGTACGGCTACGGGAGTGCGTTTGCCCACCTTTTCGAAAACTTTAGCGGCACAATATTTAGTGATGTCGTTGGTAACTTCGAAGTAGCCAAAGGCACCAGCACCCTTGGCATGGACAACACGTTCGGGGATGCGTTCACGATCGAAGTGGGCCATTTCATCGAGGAAGTTGACATCTTGCAAGAGGACAGGGCCACGGGGACCAACGGTCATGGTGGCATCCTTGACACCGATGGGTGCACCAGCACCGGTGGTAACGGCACCAGGGGCGGACTGAAAGAAGAAAAGAAAGGAAGTGAATATTAGTCAAGTGTTTTGAAGAGGAGGATTTTAAAAATACAGAGGGGAAGAAGAAGAAACCAAGAACCATCAAGTAGTGCATTTATTTGAAAGAAAAACAATTTGTAATTGTTGAACGTGTTAAAGCCGCATTTCGGTGATTCTCCATGGTGTTCATGTCAGTTTTAGTACAGAGACGGGCTTTCATGGAACCTGTATAAGAGGTGTTCGATTTTGTAAACTATTCTAGTATCGTGTCATAATTATTATTATTCATTTTTAGTACATATTATAATTAATTAAAAATTTAGTACACTACAAAAAGTCGAGTATGTGTCGTTTAGTACTAAATCTAAAAACATAGATCATTAAATTTTATTATTCACTGAATTGATTTGAGTTTATTTTTTGGTGTGTTCAGTTTTGAGTAGTACTAAAAAGCAAAACAAACCAATACAAACAAAAAATATTTACTTTTTTAGTCCAATTACAGAAGCATAAGGAGCGTGATTCCTATAAACAAATAAAAATCAGTACAACCATTTATTATTGTTTTTTTTTTCGTTCTACTCTAATTTTTTTTGGATTGCAAGAGTTCTGAAGAAAGGTGTATCGGTGTGCCGTTAGTATGAAGACAGTGTTGAATATTTTTTTGTGCATTTAGTACATTTTTTAGAATTATTAAATTTTAGTTATAAGTGAATATTAACAAAAACATATCCTCTGGACCTTGGGAACCAGATTTCCCAGGTGTTAGATGCCCAAAAATCCCTAAAAATACCGAAAATCGGAAGGTACTATCAATGATGGCTATACCTCAGAGTGGACCAATATTGCTAATTTTTGGAAGGAAGATGTTCTGCTATAAGATAACACAAAATATCAAATTACAGACCAATCGTTTGGAAAATGTGTAAAAAATCGGAAAATAGTGTTTTCCGTTATATGGGGGCTATACGTAAATGTGGACCGATGCTGATCATTTTTGGTAGGGAGGTCTGCTACCCTAAGAGAAGCCAATATATCAAATTACAGCCAAAGAGAACCCAATGTATCAAATTACAGCTATTTCGCATGAAAAATATGCCCAAAATCGGAAAATAGTGTTTTTCGCTACATGGGGACTATGCGTAAATGTGGACCGATATTGCTATTTTTTGCAAGGAAGATGTTCTGTCCTATGAGTACCCACCCAAAATATCAAATTACAGCCCAATCGGTTGAAAAATGTTTCTAAAATCGGAAAATAGTGTTTTCCATTATATGGGACCTATACCTAAAAGTGGATCAATATTGCAAATATTTGGTAGGGAGATCTGGTACTCTAAAAGAACCCAAAATACCAATTTTCAGCCATTTCTGTTTGAAATTATGTCCAAAATCGCAAAATATGGTTTCCCGTTATATGGAGGCTATACGTAAATTTGGACCGATGTTGTTCATTTTTGGTTGAGAGATGTTGTAGCCAAAGAGAACCCAATATATCAATTCACAACCATTTTGGTTGAAAAATATGTCCAAAATGGGCAAATAGGTGTTTTTCTTATATGGGGGCTATACGTAAATGTGGCCCGATGTTGTTCATTTTTGGTTGAGAGATTTTATAGCCAAAGAGAACCCAATATATCAAATTACAGCCATTTTGGATGGAAAAGAATTCCCAATATCGGAAAATAGGGTTTTCCCTTACATGGGGGCTATGCGTAAATCTGAACCAATTTTAATTATTTTTAGTAGAGAGATGCTTAACCCAATGAGAACCCAAAATATCAATTTTCAGCCATTTCTGTTCAAAAATGTGTCCAAAATCGGAAAAATAGGGTTTTTCGTTACATGGGAGCTATACATAAATGTTGACCAATATTAATAATTCTCCCTAATTTTTGGTAGGGAGATATGCTACCCTAAGAGAACACAATATATCAAATTACAAACATTTTGGTTCGAAAAGATGCCCAATATCGGAAAATAGGGGTTTTCGTTAGATGTGGACTACACGTAAATGTTGACTGATATTGATCATTTTTGGTAGGGAGATTGTCTAACCAGGGAGAATCAAATTTTCGAAATTACAGCTAGTTCTGTTGGAAAATTTATCCCAAAAATTTAAAAATAGTATTTTCGGTTATATGTGGTCTATACCTAAAGATGAACCGATATTGATTATTTTTGGTAGAGAGATGTTATACCTCGTGAGTATTCAAATTTTAAAATTACAGCCAATTTGAATGTAAAATGTGCCAAAAAAAATCGGAAAAATTGGTTTTCAGTTACATGGGGGCTTGAATAAAAAATGGACCAATATTAATAATTGTTGGTATGGAGATTGTCTACCCAATGAGAACCCAAAACATCAAATTACAACCAATTCGGTTGGAAAATGTGCCAAAAATCGGAAAAATTGGTTTTCAGTTAAAAGGGGGCTTGACATAAAAATGGACCAATATTGATAATTTTTGGTATGCAGATTGTCAAACCAATGAGAACCCATAATATCAAATTTCAACCAAATCGGTTGGAAAATGTATTTAAAATACGAAAATAGGATTTCAGGTTATATGGGGTCTATACCTTAAGGTGAACCGATTTTGATTATTTTTGGTAGGGAAATCTGCTACCCTAAGAGGACCCAAAATATCTAATTGCAGCCACTTTTGTTGAAAAATGTGTCCAAAATCGAAAAATAGTGTTTTCCGTTACATGCGAGCTATACCTAAAGATGGACCGATATTGATAATTTTTTGCTAGGGAGATTTCCTATCGAGTAAGAATCAAAAATATCAAATTTCAACCAAATCGGTTGGAAAATGTATTTAAAATACGAAAATAGGGGTTTTAGGTTATGTGGCAACTATACCCAAAAGTGGACCGATTTTGATTATTTTTGGTAGGACTATTTGCTGTTCAATGATAAACCAAAATATCAAATTACAGCCAATTCGGGTTGAAAATGTGTTCAAAATCCGAAAATACTGTTTTCCTTTATATGGGGTCTATGACCAAAAGCGGACCTATACCGATAATTTTTAGTGGAGATATTGTCTACCCAATGAGAACCTTAAATATCAAATTACAACAATTTCGCTTGGAAAATATGTCCAAAATGCTATAATACTGTTTTCCGTTATATGGGTACAATACCCGAAGTTGGCCCGTTTTGGATTATTTTTGGTAGGAATATTTGCTGCTCAATGATAAACCCAAAATATCAAATTACAGCCAATTCGGATTTAAAATGTGTTCAAAATCGGAAAATACTGTTTTTAGCTCAATGGGGGCTATTTGAAAAGATGCACCGATATTGCTAATTTTTAATAAGGAGTCGTTTGCTACACAATCAGAAGATTAAATAACATTTTAAAATTGTTTTCTTTAAAAAAAAATTCCCAACATTTTAAAATCAAATACTCTTTGTACCAGAATATTCTAAATATATCTGATACCTGTTTCATTATGCAATTATTTGTTGACCCACCCCTTAAAAACAAAAAAAAAAATGTTTGCCTTCTTCGATTGCCTATCTTATCGTTTGTGTGTGTAATTTGTGTAGCAACAATAAAATTTCGTTTGTTCCAAAATTTTTAAATCAAACTGATTATAATTCCAAACCAGCAACAATTCACAAAATTGAAACAAGAAAGAAATGTGTTAACTCTTCCAAAAACAAAAATTCAATTAGAGTAATTAAAAAAATGCATTCAATTCAATTGTTATTTTGGTTATAACCAAAATAGCTGCAAATGTTTTTGTTATGGACAAAACAAGTTTGAAGGCATCATTGCAATCTGGTTTGAGATTTGGCAGGTTGGTTTTTCTCTAATCGATTCCAACAAAACAGAAAAAAAATTCAATTTAAGGAATGTGTTTGGAGTATATATTTCATGACAAGTCAAGCTAAAAATTCGTACGTACGTAGTACACCATTGGGGTTTGGAAAAACAAAATCAATTCAAAAATAACACAAAAAAATAAAAATTTTGAAATACTTAGTGATTTGAATAAGGAGTCCAAAAGGTCGTAATTAATGCATTTGAAAATTGCATTGCAAATTTGTCAAAGTTTGATGTTTGAGGGAATTTGCAATTAGAAACCAGCACTTCTAATTTAAAATTCCATTAAAAATAAAAATGAAATATTTTCAAAAAGATTTAATAAAATTGAGTGAAATTATAAACAGCTTCCTTTAACAATGGGTAATTAAAAAAATATATAAATTTATCCCATAAGAAACAAATCCATTATTTCATTAAAATATTCTAGAACGTGTCAAAAGGAAATCATAAACAATATGTGAAATATTTAATTTCAGTCAGAAACTTGCCGAAAGGAAACAATGTATATTAAATTAAAAAAATATATTTAATTATATTAGCAATGAATTAAAAAATGAATCATATTTGCACGTACACAAAGCCTTTGTTCGGGCTTTGTTACTAACAAAAATTAAAAGAACTCATTAAAGAGGTCTATAAAATGATTTCAATTAAAGTTTTGCAATTAACAACTAAGAACGAAACAATCAATGTTGTGTAATAATTGATATTGGTTTTGAAATTACAACTAATTGCTTGTGATTAATTAACCAAAAAACTTTGACTCATCCAATGGGAAAAATATTAAATAATAATTTGATATAATTTTTTTGAAAAACAAAGAACTTCAATTTTGATATATTTTTTTAAAAAACAAAGAACTCAAATTTAATTCATATATTGTTGCAAAAAGAGGAAGTTCCACCAAGACCCTGCTGCCTCTTTTTTCATGCCACATATTATCTTTAAGACTTGATTCAACAGGTTTTGTATGGCAAATGGTTTGTTGTAGAGCTATGCCGGTTATGTGTTTGCCTTTTAGTTATAAGTCCACCAAAGTTTATTGACTTGTCTGCGACGCAAAAAAAAAGCCAAGCGGGCAAAATCTATGCCACACTTCATTGCAACAAATCAAGGTTTTTTGTTATTGTTGTTACTGCAGTCGTTAGAGTGTGAATGTGTCTATG